GAACAGGCCAGCCTCACCACTGCCATGTGCTCGCAGTAGCAGTGGGCAATGGTCAGTGAGTGGCAATAGGACAGTCTCTGCAGCAGGAGGGGCAAGGGGAGCATCAGGGCAACTGCCCTCATCAAAGCCACCAGCCCAGTTTTGGCTACCAGCGAATGGGTCAGGATACTGTGGTACCTCAGAGGGTGGCAAATTGCCACATAGCGGTCAAAGGACATGGCCAAGAGCACTGCAGACTCCATGATGGAAAATGTGTGGAGGAAGAACATCTGTACCAGGCAACCAACCAACCCAATCTCTCCAGCGTTGAACCAGAAGATGCCCAGGGTTTTCGGCATGGTGGTGAGGGACAAGACCACATCAATGGAGGCCAGCATGGAGAGGAAGAAGAACATGGGCTGATGGAGACTCGTGTCTGTCTTGATCACATAGAGAAGGCTGCAGTTACCCAGGAGGGAGATGACAAACATAGAGCAGAAAGGGATGGAGATCCAGTGCTGAACATGTTCCAGGCCAGGTATTCCAGTCAGGAAGAAAACCACGGGCTCCAAGGCTGTGTGATTGCGCACTGATCCATTATAAGATCCACTGAAAAGTTGTTTCATTTCAAGATGTTCTTCAGTGGGCTTTTCTCGCACAGACAGCACACACCCGATGGGGGGATGAGCTCTCAGTGAGGTTTGGGGCTTGGGAGGTTGCCTTCCCTTCTGGCATCAGAAGCAGAAATGCTGTCAGCAAAACAGAACGTTAGCCCAACATTCATCTTAACCCGCCTTCTATCTCTGACTAATCAGTATCCTTCATGAACTAGTTTCTCTAGCACCAAGCAGAAATTAGAGGTAAGAATTTAGGATTTCAAGCACCCCGTTCTGTCACCCAGGCAGGCAGCAAAGTACTTTCCACAAAACTCCAGGACTCTTGGAAACAAACAAGCAAAAATCATGAATTCTTAAACAAAAGAACACTGCCACCTTCTTTGGACCTGGACCTTTTTTTCTTTTCTTTTCTGGCTATTTGGCCAGTAAGTCACATTGCATGTTTGAAGAAATCATCAATAAA